ATATCATTTACTAACAACAACAACAACTGGCCAAAACTCTTAGAACAACCAAGCATATCAATTAATAGCATTCTTTATTTACTAAAAAAACCATACTAAATCAAACCAAACTAAATAAAATAAAGCTACATTATATCGAACAACTCACAGATTACAATAATACAACTACATTATTTTGGTCCCAACTACCACACAACTTACAACTAATTCTAAGAGAGAAAAAACCAAGATAATTACTAACAAAATACAAATACTACTCTCTTCAAACAATAGCAATCTTATTATACTAAATCCATATATATACAACAACCAACTCATCGAAAAAGAATCATAGATTATAAAGAAAAAACAAGATACATATTTTCTGAGAAAAATATCTTCAATAACAAACCAGATAGCAACTATCAACTACTGGATTCTCAACACTACTACAAATAGACTATCATTATATCACAGATATTACTAAAACAACCCAAAGCTTAACAAAGTAAAATGCACAATACAGGCCAATACACAGCAATTATATAAGCTAACTGTTAATAGCAAAAAACTTCTTCATGCTAATATAGGAGATATACTATATAACAACTTAACTGATAACAATAGAATATCAGTTAACAATAACACAAAATATGTAACCAAACAATAAAAAATCATAAAAATATCATCGACATCAGAGAAATCACAAACTACCTATAAAATATCTATCAATTATTAAATTCACACAAATCATTTACTATCCAACTTATTACAACACAATATGTCATTAACAACATACAGAGTGAAGTAATTGTATGCAAAATTCACTTCCTAGAAAACTATCTACTAATCAAAACCTCAAGTTAGCTTTTAACTACTAAAAACCTTATAACAGTGCTTATATATATATCTCTAATTGCTGCATCAAAAACAAAACTTCAAATCAGTACTAACAGAATCTACTTTCAACATTTAGCAGAAAAAATTCTCTTACTACTAATAGCTAATCTTTCTAAAATTTATCAGATGAACAACTAGCCAAGCTAATTAATATGGAAAACTATAATCATACAAAAAGATCTCCAATATACTCTCAACTATAACAACTCAAATACTGAAACAAATACCAACATATCAAACTAAATAATATATAAAACAAATATCAACTATAGCTGTATACACTATGATACCTACTACCTCACTTGGCAACAAGTTACAATTGAACATAATCTACGTAGATTTATTCGACATCTCTAAAATACACATCAAATAGCACAGTGGCACTTACAAATGCAAATATAATGCTAGGATATATTAAGACCAGATACTGACTAGACAATATTTTACAAATATATAAACTACAAGTATATACTGATACAAAGAGAAACAAATCCTAAATATTCAAAATTAAAAGCATTCAAACTCAAACTACTCCTAGAAGAGCTCCCAACACTAGAAGTACTACATGAATGCAATCCTAAAAAATATCCAAACTTACTTTACTTTAGATGCAAAGAAACTACTAAAAGCAATTATTACTTACTAACATGCAAAGAAAATAGCATAAGCATTAGATGTATTATTTTTGAAATAGTAAACAAGATTCTAATATCCCATGAAGTATACGAACAGAATATCTGAAAACAAACTATCACAACTATTACCAAACATATTAGTCTATGTAACCCTGAAAACAACACAATCAGAATTACCTTCAGACTACTTCTAGTACAAAATATACTTCAAATTAACAAATTCACTAAGAAAGAAAAAGATAACTTCAGTCTTACAATACTAATTCTCTACAAGATCTCTAGTAGAATCTACAAAGAAATATAGTTAACACGATGTCAACAAAAAGCTACTACTGAGATAAATATATTAGATCATGAGATATTTCATCAAACTGTATCTAAATCTATTACAAAATCTCATAACTTAACAATAATAGATCAAAACCGAATCATTAAACTCACGAAATAGTTTTCCTTATTCTCTCAATTTAATATTTCATCTAATCATATAAATACAATCATAGACTAAGCGAGGCCTTTGGCCTTTTTTTAGCAAAGTTTAGGTCATAAGTAAACTAGCCTAAGTCTTAATTTTTATAAATAGATAGTATATACTATATTGTAATATATTTATAATGTACTTATATATTAAAATTAATAAAGAAATTGAGACAAGATCTCGCTTTTTAAAAAAAAAAAAAAAAAAAAAAAAAAATTAAATTAAATTAGTATTACTAAATAATAGATCAAACTTATATATATCTTTGTATCTAAGTTTCTTTCTAAATTTAAATTAAATTAGTATTACTAAATAATAGATCAAACTTATATATATCTTTGTATTTAAGTTTCTTTCTTCAAATTTTAAGTTTTACTAGTATTTCTTAAATTATAAACTAATACAAACAAATTTGTCTATATTTTTTATTCTTTAGTTCTAATTTACTTTTTTAAAATACAAAAATATTATAAAAATAATTATAAATAATAAAATTTAAAAATAAAAATTATTTTTTTATAGTATTTGTTTTTATATTATAAGAAATTATATATAAACTAAAAATAGCTAATTTTATAAAAAATTTTTTTATAAAAATTTTATTAGTATTTTAAGATAAACTTGTTTAATTTAAGTTTTAAAGATATAATTTATTAAGCAATTTAATAAATTTTTAAAAAAGGTTTAGTGATTTTAGTATAGTAATTAAGTTACCAGACTATTATACAAGAGGTCTGAAGTTTAAATTCTACTATTGACAAATTTGAATAATTATTTAGATCTTTATATCTAACTTATAGTAAACTCTATTTATTTCTAAAAGTTGTAATTCTATAAATCATATTGTACTAATATCAATTAGATATTAGAAGTATGATGTAATTAGAGTTTGGAACCAGATTTCATTTTTCTATTCGTATTAAATTTTATTAATAAAAATATACATCAGATTTTAATTCAGATTTATTTAATTATATCAGATTGTGTCTTAGGTTGTACTTACATAGATCTGTATAAATATAACACTACAAAGATTCTCATAGACTTTTAGACTTTCTCGTTATTATCATTATGTTTAGAGTTATTATAAAAATAACAGATAATCTTAAACATAAAATTTTGATATTTTATTTTGTACTTTTTATTTAAGAATTAAGTATTCTTTACTATATTTAATAATTATATTTTAAACTTGTAGTTGTAATGAAATTTGGACAGATTGAAACAAATTTATTGAAGTTTATTAATTTGTTTTTAGTTTTTAAAAATTTTTAATATCTAATTTTACATATACTTTATTATTTTTAAATAGTTTTCATATTTAAAATTTTAGAAATCAGTGAAACCAAAAAGGTAAAATGAGTATATACATGCATAACTTAGCTGTTTCAATATATTAGATTCTTTTGCAGAGTAACAAGTAAGTGCTAATATTTTTTTACTTGTAAAATGTTATAATCTATTTAAGGTATTTTCAAATAATTGGTATTTTTTATTTAAGAAAAAAAACTGATTGTATAATTGATTGTATACCTTCTTTATAGTCTCAATTTAAAATCTTTTCATAGTTCAAAACTAAGCCTTAGAAACCAGATTCAGTAGTTTGGAATTGTTTATCATATTTAAGACTGTTTCTGCTTATATAAAAAATTAATTAGAAAAATAATGATAAACTAAAAAAAAAAAAAAAAAAAAAATTATTTATTATTCTTCAAGGGTAGAAACATGAGAAAATATAAACTATTCCATTTTAAAAATAAGATATAATCAACTAAATTAGGTGCTAATTGAGTTCTTTTAGCTGAAATATTATTTCTAGCATCAGAAAAAGTCTATTACTAAGAACTGAAATAGCAGAGATTGAAAAGTATTTACGAGCTAGTTATGATGGATCCGTATCATTTCACCGACAATCATTTCATCGACAGCTCATTTAGCTGACATCACGGCAAGTGACAATTTACTAATAATATATATATCTGAAACTAATAAAACCCTAACCCTAACTCCATGTGATGTCAGCTAAATGAACTTTCGGTGAAATGACTGTCAGTGAAGTGAACGGTACCGGTTATGATAAAATAGGATAACTTGTTTGATGATCTCGCCACTAAGTTAAAAGATCAATATTTCTTGATTCTTCAGGATAAAGTAAATAATAGAAGATTTCGTCTTCTGTTTGTGATTAATTATTAGCCTATATTCTCAAAAATATGTCCTTAGTATTGTCAATCAGATTCATTATCGAAGTTGGCCTCTCAATTTAGAAAAAAAAATGATGCTGGCGAAGTAATCTTAGGAAGATGAATGCATCATTTTTTTTTAAAAAAAAAAAGATTTGTAGTTTTTTTATTTTTCCATTTAATATTTATTTTAATAGATACACTGAAATCTGCAATGTATTATAGAAACTAAAGAAGCATTATATAAAAAAATCCGAATGTTAGTTTTAACTGATAATACACGAGTCACTTTAGATATACTGTACTTTATATGAATATGAGGAATTAAATACTGAAGAGAGTGAATCTGAATTAGAAATTACGAAGTGGTACGTATAAAAAAACTTTTATAAGGTATTTAAATTATACTATATATTTTTTTAAAAAGTTTTTAATATCTATTAATACTTATAAGAATTTGACTGTCTTGAAAGGTAAACAAAAAAAATGGCACCGAAATATCGTATCAAACCTTATACCTCTTTAAACAATGGTGAACGACATTAAATTTTGAAAAAAAAAAAAAAATTTCTTCTGAAGACTTTGAGTGAGAAACAAAAACACTTTCTACTGGCAATAATGAAGAATCGTTGGCTATTATTAAAAAAATAAAAATTGGTTACCGTAACGATGTGTACTATAATTTTTTTTATCACCATACTCTAATAAATAAAATAATCGTAGTGATAAAAAAATTATAGTACACCGGGGAGTTATTTCGCAAAAATCTTTGGGTTATTTTATTATTTACAATAAAATGCAAACATTTTTCTCTTTCGAATTGTAATGTTAAGTTTAATTTTTAAACAGCGACTATGTACTTGTGATACTAGGTGGGTTAGTGTCGCCAAGGAAAAACCAGACAAGTTTATTTCTTATCGAACTCAATAACTATAAAATTTGTTAATGTTTTAGTCTGGTAATTATAAATTTAAAAGTCCGAAGTCTGGGAATTACTTATATAAAGTATAAACGTCTCCCTGTAATATTATAAATTTAAAAGTTTAAAAGTCCGAAGTCTGGAATTACTCATATAGAAACATTTTCCTAGTATAGTAATATTATAAATTTAAAAGCACCGGAAACTATGATTCACATAATACAGTTATCATTTTAAAATAACTTAATGTTTGTAAATATTTGTGTTTTTTTTTTTATTAATTATGGTGTCAACCCAAAATCATCTGACTTTATAGTATTACTGTAACATAGAATTATGGTTTAGCTTTTTTAAACAATGAACAAGTATTCAATCTGTACTATTTTGAAGAAGAATGCCTTTTATATATCTATAAAGGAATACCTTTTATATTATCATACGCCATTTTCTTTGTTTTTTAACCTGATCAGATTTTTATCATAATTAAGGTATTGAATGCATTGCATAATACAAGACTAATAATTTTTAAAAAGGAATTTCTTTCTAAAACTTAACACTCTATACCTTAGAGAATATCCCAGTATAAATCTGGTGGGGTACTCCAAATTCCCGAAAATTTAAAATCCAGACAGTTTTTCCTACTATAATAGCAGCTATCATTGTCGCTACCTTTTTTTTTTTTTTTTTTTTTTGATAACTGCTTTTTTTTGTGGATTTTTTCTGTTAAGGTAAGAGTAAAGATATAAAGAAATTTGTTAATATTTATAAATTAGCAATTATTTGTTAATATTTTATAAATTAGCAATTATTTAAATCTAGTCATATCTACGTAGCCATTGTGTAATGATACACTCAATAAATTAAAGCAATTAAACAACAACCGAATTTTAATTTCGAAAAGAAATTCAAACGTGTAATTAAAAAAAATCCGAAATGCAAAAAGGGGCAATAAGAAGATATTGTCTCACATTAATAATATTACAACTTTTTATTCTTACATTCCTTTGCCCGGCTCTTGGTAAATAAATAGATCCTAAAAGATATATTTTTTTTATGAAACTTTATAATAAAATATAAACAGAGGTTGATATTTATATTCTTTTTTAAACAATGTTATTACAAATATAGCACTGGCGAAGGTCATACTGTTTGATCAAACAAATGGAGAACTCAAATACAATCAAGGTGTTGAATATTCGTAAGAAAAAATCTAATTTTTGACCATTTAAAATGAATTTACTTTTTTAATAAATTTGTTCGTTATTTTATTATGATGGACGTGAATATATATATATATATATTTTTTTTTAGATATGTAACACTTACTTGTTCAACAGCCGGTAAGTATTATTTAATATGAATTTTGAATAAATGAATTTATTATTAATAATTTATACTTTTTTTTTTTTTTTTTTATATTCAGCAATTAGTTTTTTTGCGATGTGTTGTTTTTGTTTTTTTGAGATGAGAGACTTTAGGTAATTTATTTATTTTCAATAAAAAATTTTTTTTAAAAAAAAAATATATATATGTTAAAACAAAATAGCTAAGGATCAAAATTTTGATATTCACCTAGATTTTTAACAATAATTACATCATTGGCTTGGTTTGTTCTACCAAGTAAGTTTTTAAAAATTTCTAATTTACTAATCGTTTTATTAATTAATTAATTAATTAAACTATATAACTTGTTCTTATCTTAAAAAATAGTTATTTACACCATTTATACAATACATGAAATTGATCCAATCCCATTTGGTTGTCCATCTAATTACGATTATAAATCTGAAATAACCAAAACAGCTTGTAAAATTCGAGCTGCAAATTTTATTTTTATGTGGTTATATTTAGCTTATGCTATCTTTAGTCTCATCATTATGTGTAACCTGATGTTTGATTCACAAGTTGAAAAACCTATTACTGAAATTGAGATAATTGAAAATGGTGATGAAAGAGATGAGGATCAAAATGACAAATTATCGAGCTAATGCTAGTGTTATTTAGTATTAAAAAATTGAATTATGATCTAATTACAGCACAATAAACTAATTACAATAAATTACGCTGATTGGATTCGTGTCAACTTAATGATTCACTATTTTAAATTAAATTAAATTAATTATTATTGTTCGATCAGAGACTTTGTTATTCTATCTATTATGAAAACATATGGGAATATAAGGTTAGCTAGCTCCAACCTCTATATATTATATATAGTACATATACTTCAAAGAATTCAAAAAAAGTAACATTGTAATGTATCACTCATATGTAGACCATATATAAAGTTCTTGCTTTGCAACTGCTTTTGAATAATCTAAGTCGTTAAATTAAGGTAGTCATTGCATACTCTAATTATACATCGGTCCTTGATCTGTCATTGCAACGGTGTCTTTGAACAAACATTTATACTCTAATCATATGAAGGTCTTTGCACTTGTAGTGCTGAACCTACTTCTTATTACATTTAAGCTTATTAATCAAAGTGGCTATTGTTATTATTCCTAGCCGTTATGCAACCTAGAATTGGTAGAGTAAAAAGGGACAACAGAGTCATAAGCAAGTGATGTCGAAAAGAAAGACAATCTACTCTAATCGAACAGAATCATTTAAACACTTCTTAAACTGACTAAAATTCGTCCTGCATATATTCAATATCCCTAATCTTTGCTCACCCACCTACCAGTTTACCAACATTCGTAGTAGTTTAGTTTTCCAGTTATCTCTAAAAGTACACATTAAACTCACATAAGGTAGATAACGCTCTAGAATTATCATCCTAAAAAAAAATAAAACAAAATAAAATCCCTTAGCATCCTTAATATCAAACCCTATAATTTGACTGTGTTTTACATTACCATGCTTTCTGATTGTGTCTCAAATTAATACTTGCGTCAGATTAAAATTGGCCTAAATTAGAGTTGAAGTTAGGATTTAGCAAGACCGGTTATTGTAGAGATCATTTTAATGCTAATGGTTTTAATCTGAGGCAACAACATATATACCGCAATTTGGAAAGTATAGGTTTATACGTACCAGAAGTATCTTTACAATTAGAAAATATTTAATTAAACTCTATGAGACAAAGGGTGTTCTCAAGCACCTAAATCATACCTAAATCAATGGAACGGAGATCAGTTTTTAATTATATAATTAAAAACTGATCTCCGCAGATTCATATATCTAAATATGTACATAGTAAAATTACCTCAAAACTATGTGTGGTCTATTATTATATTACTACATAACTGTAGTAAATTCATTTAAATATAGTGATTGGAATAGTAGTCTATGTAATAATTTACAATTATTGAAAAATGTTTCGTAACATTTTTATACGTATGTGGAAGACGAATTAAATTAATTTTTTCTAAATATTTTAATATATATCAATTCTTAAACATATTTATAACAAAGTTACGCTAAAATACTTTGTTATACTTCTATATTAATAATTATACTTAGAATAAAATTTAAATAAAGCGAAAACCAAGAAAAAAAAAAAAAGAAAATTTTTTGATAATGGTAAAATTTTTTAACATAACTTTGTTAGAAATATGTTTTAAGATTAATTTTATGTTAATAATAGCGATAGTGTACTTATACGTAAAAAAAATTTTCTTATATTGTACCGTATATAGTTTTGATCTACATAGTTGACTACTCACCCCAGTTAATAAATCGTTATTTATATAATCGTAATGGTTTAAAATGAGACATATGAAGAAGTTGTATAACAGACTTATAGTTCCAAATCTAATGTTAAGAAATGAGACCTTTTTATACATGTTACCTCAGCTTGGAAAAACCTATCCAAAAACGAGAGGCTTTTGTTTTTTTTTTTTTAATAAATAATTGTATATAAATTACTTTGTTTTTTATGACATAGATTCAGCAGTTTGATATAAATTTCTTAATACCAGAAGTAAATTCTATAAGAAAAAATTGTTTCTTTGATTCAAAGCCACTAATCATCTCTAAGCCTAAGCCTCGGAAAATATAAGAAAGTCACAAGATCAGAGAGCCTTGATATTGAAAAGAAATAGAATAATCGACAATTTGCTTTTTGTAAACAACAAAATAAAACACGAAATAATGTTAATGAGCACAGATAGCAAAAACAATAGACGTGAACTTTGTTCTTAGATTTATAATTTGTGGCTGATGCTTCTCTGATTGAATAGAAGCGATAAACAACAAGCCATTGTACATATGTGAACTCGAGAGAGGAGGACGTCATCTTTAATTTTCCATTTATTTAATGTTTATTATTGTTTAAAGTCTCACAAATGTAAAAAAAAAAAAAAAAAAAATGCAATTTACAATTCCCAAGTTATATAAATTCCTTCTTAATTGCATTTGGGAAGTGTTACGATTAGCGAGATTTTTTTTTATATTTTTGACAAATCGGTTGTACAGTACTATCTAACATTTATTTCAATATTTCAAAATTTTATCCTACCAGATTTTTTTTTTTTAAAATAATAATAATAATAATTATCGATCATACAAAAAAAAAAAAAAAAAGATTGTAACTACGATTTTATTATTTTTTTTTATACAAAAACAA